AATGTTGCGGTTTCAAACACATACGCTTGATGCTCATCAGCACACATCTCCAAGCCAATGTGACCAACATGAAGACTACAAATAGATGATTATTTGCGAACCGAATGCGCGCGTCGAGCGAAGTGGGTGGAGTGATTCTTTGATCAGCATGCCTCAGGGTAACACTTCTTGAGGGCTTCACTGCAGAGATCACCGGTGGCAAGCCAGAGGTCGGAGTTCTTCATCCAGTAATCGTACTGTGCCGAGCGTAGTTTTGCCTTCAAGGCACGTGTACCTGCCTTTGTGTTTTGGTTGATTTTGAGGCGATCTTTCAAGAACCTCCATGCCCTGTCCACGATCTGGGTTCCTGATATCACGCGCAATTTCTTCTTGGTTCCTGGGATGTTGTGGGTAACCAAGTTGACGTACTTAGGGCTTGTCCAGCGGTACACGCCATTGACTTTGATGCGTTTCTTGCAGTGAACGACACGGTCGTGGATCACCCCTGGCATTTTCAGCTTATAGCTTTTAGCCGAATCCGTATGGAGAACAACCTTGCGGTTCACGAGGATCTGGTTGGCGATGGTCTTCCATTCGGTTTTTCGAATAGCACCGGGGCCAGGTGCTCTTGTTCGTGTCAACTTTGGGCTTAACTTGCCAAGGACCAATGTGTGCGGCTTTCCCCGTTGTATGATACCAGCCCACTGCTCCCACATGATCGTGTCCTTGGGCTTGACGATGAGATGGCGTAGATGGGGTACTTCAGAGATGTCACGCTTGTCAAAGGTGGCTTCGTCCGCTTCTACATCCACCCATGTTTTAGCATTCCCGAAGACGATTTTCTTTTCTTCCTTCTCCACATAAGCTTGGCGCAGTCGGCATATCTTTGTCTCCTAAAGCATTGCGGAGAATTACTACAATTTATATTTAAACGTACATAAAATAAAACAATGCTACAAATAAGTAAGCACAATGCACGGATTCGAGCTTCCATGTTCTCAACGGCTTTGTGGTTGGTCCCCAGCAAGAGGTGGATGGTGGACTGCGGGACTCTCTGTAGACGCAATAGAAGTAGAGCGGACTGCATCTGCAAGCTTTGCTTCTGTGGGCCTGGGCATTCTGAGAAGAGAGGATGCAGATGGTACGGGGTGATGATAGCGCTGCATGCCTTTTTGCTGCACCTGTGCTTGAGAAGATGAGGACCGCGTTCACATAACTTGGAGAGAGTGCCCGTAGAGCATCTAGGTCATGTTCTGCCGGCTAGGTCAAGAAGGATCTTGTCAGCAATGAGCATCTTGATGAGTGCCTTGTCATCCGCTTTAAGGAGCTGAGGCAATGTACGTTTCCACTTGACCTGGTCCTTGCGTTGACCACGAGATCCTACGAGGACATGTTCACGAACATACTTGGTGGCCTTCCATAGAGAGGATTTCATAGCTGCAGGGCGTTTCTGCACCTTGCGCAATTTGCCCTTCTTTGCAACTATGTTGGCATTGGGTCGGCTTAGCTTCCCCATGGCTATAGAAAGACAGACGCTGACTAAGAGACGTGGATGGGATAGCGAAGATTCGGCTTTGATCCAAAACTAATGAAAGTATTTAGACAGCAGTGTCATCTGAAGATCGAGTTGCAGAGTTAGCATGCAGTGCTTACAGTCCCCCTAAAGTGTATATAATATAACTTTGAGGGGAAAATATTATGAAATTAAGCAATCTACTATTATATCCACTTCAGGGGGGCTGTAAGCCTTGTATTGTGGAAGTTTCTTTTTTTGTGGGAGCATCGTGTCGAACAGGCCGAACGCTATGAAGCGAAGCAACTCCATATAGAAGTCTAGCCATCAACAATAACATGAATAGTCTGGATAATATAAAAAATCAAGAATCACAGTGACCATAGTAGATAATGAGTAGTAAAAACGGTATGTCGTGTAGAAATTTCTATGAAATATGTTTTACGATGTATGCTATGGATACTGAAGATGGTTTCTCTCGCCCTGCTCTCTTGGAGTTGCTGGGACAATATGTCGTCATGACATCCTTCCAAAGCATGTGCACCAAAATGATGTATGGGAATAAGTTCTATGATTGCCTAAGTATAAAAGTATATAGAAAGATTTTTTGGAACGTATGTTATGGAATAGAATACACCAAATCCTTTCCCCATACATTCGTGCACATGGTGACGCCTGAGTGAAGCTAACCTATGCGAGCCTACATACGCGTGACCGAACCGAGATTCACGTTTGGTCCTCATTCAGCTCTTGCTCGATGATGGCAGACAATTCCTGGGAGAGGCTAAGCTCATTCTGCTCCTCATGCTCGAGGTCTTCCATGGGATCATGGATGGACTCAATACCCATGGAACTGCCAAGAGAAGCAGGTGATGGAGGAGGAGCAGACTGATTTGCAGCCAATGCATCATGAGCTTCTTGGTTGTGATGGTCCTCTCTGCAGGGCGAAGTAGGCGAGACATGAAAAAGCCAGCCTACGAAGAGCAACATTGTTGATAGTGGCTCTGGGCATTGGAGGAGGATTTCCAGCAAGGATCGCCTCCACATAGGCAGCCTCCCAAGCGAGGTCCGCTTCAAAACCATCAGGCTTGGAGGTCTGATTATCACGATAGGCCTGGTACCTTACAGCGGCAGTGGGCTTCAAGTAGTCAACTTGGCCGTTGGTAACGAGACACTGTACCCAAATTTCCTCCTGCGTGGCAGGACGGAAAATCATGATTTTACCAGCGTTGACGAGAATGTTAGCCCTCTTCAGCGCGGCCATGATGTGGGGGTGTTCTGTGTCCTTGGGAAACATAGGTGTGATAACCTTAAAGGAACTCCTCGTGCGACATGTGCAAAGTTGTGCCCTGGGTGACGCCTTGATGCTTCTGCAACCAGGTTGTGAACTCGTAGTCGTTACATACGAAGACCCGCGTCTGACCCTGCACGAATTTCGCGGCACCCCACCTTTCCTTGGTCATCATGGTGCAGCCTACATCAGCAAAGCCTTTCATTTTTCGAATTGGCTCGGAGGCCAAGCACACATCGTCGTGGATGTCTGGGCGATCTCTCCGGCCAGGTTGTCCTCGAAAAATATCAATCTCGCTTGCTTCCCTGTAGGAAGGAGGCGTGGAAATGTTGAGGATCCGCTTCCAGTATCTAGACGTACACATGGCAATGATGTGTGCTAGCGGCGTCTTGCCGCTGCCAGGGCCGCCTACGATACCATTGGAGTGGGTTTTCAAGGTCTTTAGCGTGTAGCGAACGGCGAAGTCCAGAACGGAATACTCCAAGTCGGCAAGGGCAAAATGGAAGTTATCCACCGGGTTTGCGAGGGCACCATCGTTCTGGAGTGCTCTGATGCTTCTCTCCACTAGGGCATGTGGCCACTGGAATATGGGAGAGTCCGTTTTAGTGTTGACGTGTTTCGTCATCCACTGCACTCTTTTCCACTCAGTGCCCAAGGAGCTAGCCTGCTCTTCAATGAATAGAAACCCCAAATCAACCTCTGACTCCGAGAGACTAGACATGTAGCAACCCTTTTTGCCATCGAGGCCACCACCTTGCTGATGAGGAAGTACCGGTGCGAGGGCGTACTGGCGACACAACCATACGCCAAGCTGCTCCAGAAACCACTGAAATGCCTTTCTGCAGTTTACGGCTTGTCCTTGCCATTGTAAAGTTTGGGGCTTTCCATAACACAAGGACTCCGCAGCTGCTTTGCCTAGCTTCATGTCTGCGCTGTACATGTGTTTGAGCATGGTGACATTGCCATTAGCCTGAGGAAGAACAACGAATTGAGTGATCAGCTTCACCTCCATGTCCGCTTTCTGGCAAAAGGGTTCAGGAAGATCAGCTCTTGACCAACGACCTTCATTGACATGCTGTTCAATCACTCCTTTGTTGGGAGGAGTAATGTCCGTCACGATATCGACGATGTGTTTGATGATTGTATTATCGCGCTGTAGGTCCCGAAGAGGCAAATCGACGATGGAAATTCCACCTAGTGCTTGGTCAGACCAGGTTGGGAAAGGTAGTGGTCGCGATAGATGCATGCCTCGGGTCGCGTCCACGCCCGCTTGCATCGTGATCTCGCCATCTCTACCCGCCATAGTGCTACACAATCAGATACACAATCTAGCAATGACTTTCGCTTGTTTTGATGTATAAGCAGCTAGATCCGGGTTATGCTCACGGATAAATAATAGTAAATAATACATAGCGCAACACTTGTTCAGCTCAAACCTATAAACTAGAAGCAGCTAATCCTTTTTTTCTGAAGAGCAGCAGTTCCAGGTGGACAGTAGAAACGGTGTGCCTCTCAAGAGCAGCAAACCCAAATGTACAGGAAACATATTCTTGACTATTCATTCTCACTTGGTGAGTTCACTTGGTGAGACGGGGAAGAAGTTCTGCGTAGTCATCCGCCGTCAGTCGCCTCTCATTGTCGTCTGAGTCGTACGCGTAGTAGATGGCCTTGTAGCGCCATACGACAGTTCCTCGGAAAACATTCTTTTTCTAGACATTCTCTCATGAAAGTTATGATGGACCGTAATCTAAAGTGATAGACGAGAAGCCGCTCGGAAGTGTCATAAAAATGCGAGGGTATTCCGTAGGCGCTGATAAGGGATGCGCTCATATTCCGTCGTCATTGTTATTATCCGCTGTATGACATCATGCGGTAGGGTTGCCCACATCGCCCAATCCATGTTCGAAGAGGGCATAATACGCGCTGGAGCTACCACGAGACAATGAGTGGAAAGATGTGCTATTAGATGCACAAACCATCACAAGAATTAATATCAATCAAAC